TCCTCTCATTATGGAATTTGTTTTACACACCTGATCAACATGGAATTTATTTTATATAGCATACATCTTATCTACATAATTTATATCTTTTCAATATAAATTGTTGTAGCATGCTGTCAAATTGGGACTGAACCATAGTTGACCCTCCAGCAGATTTTCAGAGACAGTATATCACACAAGAGGTGCTGCCCATCCTTCTCCCATAGAACAGCTGGTGGATTCGAACTGTATGTCTTTTGGATCACAGTGCAGCTTTTTACCACTTATTTGTATAATATATGCTGCGCTGTAATCCCAAGGGCACACAGTTTGAGGCCACCAGCTGCTCTGTGGAAGAAGGATGGACAATCTCCTTTTGTGCCGTTAACTGCCTTTGAAAACCCACCAGAGGGTCAGCTATAGATTGGTTCTGACTCTATGGTACCCAAGCACATCACTATTTTAACTATTTAATTTATTACATATATCTTATCTAGATATAATTTATTTATATATTATTAAAGCATATTACATATACCTTGGCCACATAATTTATTTTATATATAGTATCTGTATTTTATACATGCACATAAATTCAAAACTCAAACTCACTGCCATCAAATTGGAACTGACTCACAGCCAACCCTCCAGCAGATGTCAAAGGCTGGATATTGCACAGGAGATTACCTACCTTTCTCCTTAGGAGCCCTGTTGGATTTGAACCTTCCAAAAGGTGTGGCTTTGGGGTTTGCAGCACAAGTCTCTATGAACTACATTTATGCAAAGGTGTGTTTTCTGGTTTGGGTTTGAGACTAGGGTGTGGCTATTGCTCACAATAGGGTGTGAGCTGATTGGATTTGGCCTCACATTTAAAAAGGCTTTCAACCATCAGTCTGGGGCTATTTCCAGGCTGGGAAGATCAGCAGAACAGCCAGATTCTGCAAAGGTGTGTTTTCTAGCTGGGGTTTGAGACTAAGGTGTGGCTGTTGCTCACAATAGGTTATGAGATGACTGGATTTGGCCTCGTATTTAAAAAGGCTTTTGGCCCTTGAGCCTGTGGCCCTCGGGTCTGGTTTTTTGTGGATATCCTGGAAGGAAAAAAACCCCAAAACAACAGAGTGGCATCTACTTCCAACAAAAGCTGGCCTCCAGAAACTCTTTGAACTTGGAGAAAAGATGAAAGTTTTGTGTTCAAGACTTTTGTCCATAGGGTCACTATGGGTTGTCTACCACTCTACAGCACTTAATAACAATCTTATTAGAGTGCTGTTTCTCTTGAGACACCTAAGTCGGAGAGAGAGAGTGTTTGTGGCTGTGGCTGTGGCTGTTTCATCAGCTTCAGCTCATAGTCCAACCCAACAGATGTTACTGCAGCTTGAGTGCTCCTTGGAGGCAAAGATGGCGAAGCTTCATCTTTCATACTTTAGACAAGTAGCTAGGCCAGGCTATTCTTTGGAAAGGGACACCATGCTTGGAAAGATGGAGGGTCAGCGAAAGAGAGGAAGACCTCCAATGAGATGGATTGACATGGTGACTTCAGCAATGGGCTTGAGCGTGCCAGAGATGATGAAGATGAAACAGGATAGAGCAAGGTTCAAGTTGGCTGTTCATAGGGTCACTATGAGTCATACTCGACTTGATGGCACCTAACAACAACAACAGCTGACTATGACTGATCTGGACAGGATGTAATTCACTGAGGCTGCAGTGCTGGAATGCTGAAGGAGGTACAGCAGACCAACTGGCTCTGACATATACACTTCCTTGGAAGTAAACGCCCTGATGCTGTCTCTTGCCATTCGGATGTGGGGTCTCCTGTTCATCAGAGTCCTACATCCACTTGTCTACTTGTCCTAAGTAGACAAGTGGGCTTTCAGGGACACTCAGCCTCCAAAGCTTCAGACCCAGTGCCCAGGATAGGGGAAGACCAGAGGATAGGCTTCTGTTTGCACATGCCTTGCACCCCTCCTTATGCCCCTTTGGGAGGCTGTCTCTCTGCCCCCTCATGCCAAGACCTGCCAAATCAGAATCTGCATATTAGCCACGTCCTCTGCGCTGTGAATAAATAGTGCTGTTCTAGATTATGATCTCTGTACACTACCCCAGGAAGACAGAGCGGCCATGGCAGGCCTGCACTTACGCCTGCAGTGCGGGAATCCGTAGTAGCCCGTCTGGCAGCGGGTGCACCGCCGCCCGATGATGTTGGGCCGACATGGGCACTGTCCACCCTCAGGGCTGCAAGCCTGGCCCAGGGCTCCAGCAGGGTGGCATTCACAGGGCAGTGCACCATCATGGTACAAGGCTACCAGGGTCTGGGCGGAGTTCTTACAGAATCCAGATGCTGTCTGGAGGCTGTGGAGACAAAAGTAAAGCATGGTTTGCTGCCAGTGCAGAAACCCACACAATGATTGGTCCTACATCTCTATCCACCCACTACAGGAGGGCCCAGCACCACACAGTGGGCAGAGACCTCTGGTGGCTGGATTAAAAGGCTGAACACATATTTTTAAGATCAATTGTATGCTATGTCAATTATATCCAAAGAAAGCTGTTGCAAAAGAGGACAGCAGAAGCTGTATTAATAATAGCAAGGAGAAGGATTGCCAACATTTACAGAATGCTAAGTACCAGGTATTACGTGCTAGAAGTTTTACCTATATCTCCTTTTTAGCATTATAAGCACCCAACTAGTTAGGTCTGAGCCCCATTTCACAGAATCAGTGACTGAGCTTGTGGAAGTGATGCCCCCAAAACCTCAGAGATGTGAGGGAGCTGGCCAGCACTGGGACCCACAGTGGCTTGACCTCAGAATCTTTGCTCTTGGTATCTTGGTATCTGGAAATCTGGTCTCTCAGGAGCCTCTGAAGCAATCAGGTTCCTCAAGAAACCTACAAGGTTGGTGTGCTGACAAGTGAAGTGGTCCCCTCACACTGGCCAGGATATTGCACATCCAAGAAATGGGACAGTGCAAGGATGGTCACATCTCTGTGATGTTCTCTGGTCAGTTAGACAACAGAGAGCAGAATCAGGGCCAAGGCCTTTCTACAAGATGGCATGGTGATGAATCTGAGTGAACAGATAGGAAGCAGAGGAGAGGAAGGGGCACCTCTAACATTCCAGCAAGCCCAGCATCAATGGCGGACCTTGGCCACGCTCGAAGTTTTAGGCAGTGACCTTGCCCAGAGAGCTCACCACAGATCACTGCAGAATGGTCATGGCAAGTAGAAGGGATCTACTCCCCCAAAACCACCCTCACCACCACTGACATGATAGCAAACAGGGATGGAAGGTTCACAGATCACCTTTTCCCTCAGCCCTGTCCTGGCTGAAGTGATTGGGCATTGTAGAGCCTTCCACGGAACGATACTTACTCAATATAAAAACTGTTTCCTCCACAGCTGTTGACAAACTCTGCCGATTTATCCAGGGCTTCTTTGTGGAGTGTTTGAGAGTCATAATTCTCCACAGGCACCAGCAGGACACGGACCTAGAGGAAACCCATCAGAGTGTTTTTGAGCTTCACAAAGCAGACACACTTAAGAATTATACGGTAAACTTTCTCTTCTCCTGGATCAGTGTTCTTTGTTGCTAAGCCAACACTAAACGAAACAGATTTTTTTTTAAAGAATCACAAGGATGAATTTAAATCAGTCTTTAAAATGCCACCTATGTAATATATATAACATCTGATGATCCATTCACTTCAGATTGACTTCCCCTCCACCTACTCCAATACGGAATTATCTATCCATTATTTTCCTGCTCTCCTTGTTACCACCTTACCCACCCCTTACCACCTTAACCATCCTGTTTTAAAAATCTGGAGCAGGACACACCCTACAGGTAAAACAAGGTTTGAGAGGGGGAAAGGAGGAGGGAAATTAATCAATAGAGAATATGAGTGAAGAGAAGAGTAATGTACAATAAGAATGTGGTCAGACATTGTAGTACATTAACTGCATCAGCCAATGACAACTGATGTCTATGAATGGTTGTCTGAAAGAAAGAATGTGATTTATAAACTTTCACGGGGATAAAACTGATTTTTAAAAGAATGCAACCTATGTTCTCATGTAGACAACTATAAGGGCCAGGGTAAACCTTCCGGTGCACTGCCCCAAGAATCAGCAGCCTGGGGTCGGGAGTGCTGGGCTGGGACATGGGGCCGGTAGTGAGCCCAGGGACCCCTATGATTCTTGCCTGGGACACCCCTGGGTCTGCTAGAATAACTGAAGTGGCTGTATGAATAAACAAACCAAGTGGGTCGATGGAGAACCTAGGACAAAGGCTTGCACTGGTCTGAGGTTGGTCCTGGTAATTTAAGTCTGTCCATCAACCAAGATGACAAACATGGTAGGGGACATTCTAGCTTCATGAGAAACCAGTTATGTCTGAGAAATATGGGTGCTATCTGGCTGTCGAGATGGTCACATATCAGTCCTGTTTTAGGTTCCATCGAGTTGACTTCAACTCATAATGACACGATGAACAACAGATCTAAGGCATTCAGCTATGAACCTTACCCTTTCCTGGAATGATTGGAGATAAGTGTACAGATATGGGTGTCATTAAAAGGAGGAGAGAGTCAAACCAACTGGAGCAGATGATGTCATACAAACAGAGATGATATAAGACAAAAGGGCTGTATATTTGACTTGAGGGAACTCCAGTAAATGCGGGTAAGGGGAAAAAATAAAGGATAGAAGAGACACTAGAGAAAGTGGAAGAAACTCTAGAAGAAATAGCATGAGGACAAAAAAAGATATTTTTTAAAAGACTGTTAAAAGCTTCAGAGATTCTGTAAGAAAAAAACCTTATCATACAATTATAAAACGTGCAAAAACATGGAAAGACTTGTTGTTGTTGTTATGTGTCGTCGAGTCATTGTGACTCATCGCGACCCTATGTACAACAGCCTTAAACTCTACTCTGTCCTGTGCCAATCGCACTGTCTCCAACACACTCATCCCAACTGCCCCAGTCACCAAATCAATCCACCTCCCAGAGGGTCTTTCCCTCCTGCACTGTCCTTCCACCCTCCCAAGAGTGATGTCCTTCTCCAAGGACTGGTATCTCCTTACAACATGACCAAAGTATGTCAGACAAAGCCCCAGAATCCTTGCCTCCAAGGAGCAGCCCAGTTTAATCCTCTCCAAGATGAATCTGTTTGTTTCCTTAGCTGTCCATGGTACCCCCAGCACTCTTCTCCAACACCAAAGCTCAAAAGCATCAATTCTCCTTCTATCCACCCTGGTCATTGTCCAGCTCTCTGACTCATAACAAGTGATTGCAAAGACTATGGCCTGTACCAGATGCACCTTAGTCTCCAGAGACACACCGTTGCTTTTCAGTACTTTAGAGAGGTCCCTAACAGCAGACATTCCTATCACAATATGTCTTTTAATTTCCTGGCTGCTGGTGCCAAGAGTGTTGATTGTGGAGCTAAGAAAACTAAAGCTGTGAACAATCTCAATCTCTTCACCATCCATCCTGATGCTGCCAATTGGTCCAGTGGTGAGAATCTTTATCATCTTGACATTGAGCCTCAATCCATATTGAAGGCTGCAGTCCTTGACCCTCTGCAGCAAGCGCTTCAGGGCCTCCTCAGTTTCAGCAAGCAGGGTTGTATCATCTGCATAACACAAATTGTTGATAGATCTTCCACCAATCCTGATGCTGCATTTCTCCTCCTAGAGCCCAGCCTCACGGATGATCTGTTCTGCATACAGGTTTAAAAGGTATGGAGACAGACACATCCCTGACGTACACCCTTCCCAATTTTGAACCAGGCAGTGTTTCCTTGCTCTGTTCTGATGACTGCCTCTTGGTTCAAGTGCAGGTTTCACATTAGTACAATCAAGTGTTCTGGGATTCCCATTCTTCTCAGAGTCAGCCACAGTTTGTTATGGTCCACACAGTCAAATGCCTTTGCATAATCAATGAAGCACAGATAGACATTCCTCTGGTACTCCCTGCTTTCAGCCAAGATCCATCTAACATTAGCTACAATGTCCTGGTACCACGGCCCCCTCTAAACCCAGCCTGGACTTCTGGCAGTTCTCTGCTGATGTGCTGTTCCAGTAATTTTTGGATAATCTTCAGCAGAATCTTGCTTGCATGTGAAATCAACAATATTGTTCTATAGTTTCCACACTCTGTTGGGTCACCTTTCTTTGGAATGGGAACAAATATAGATCTCTTCCAGTCAGTTGGCCAAGTGGTTGTTCTCCAGATTTCTTGACACAACTTGGTGAGCACATCAAGGGCAGCATCTGTTAGCTGAAATATGTCAATTGGTATACCATCTATTCCTGAAGCCTTATTTTTTGCTATTTCCTTCAAAGCAGCTTGAACTTCTTCCTTCATCACCATAGGCTCTTGCTCATATGTTGTTCATGAAATTCTTCTTTACAGAGGAAAATATTCCAATGGCCAACAGACACATGACGAAATGCTCCAAATCACTGGCAGTAAGAGAGATGCAAATCAAAACCACAATGAGACTATCATCTCACCTCAACTTCAGTGGCAAAGTTTAGTAGGAGAGCAAGCAGCAAGTGTTGGAAAGGATGTGGAGAGGTGGGAACTCTCGTACTGTTGGTGGAATTGTAAAATGGTGCATCCACTCTGGAAGGCAGTTTGGCATTTCCTCAAAAAGCAGAGCATAGAAATTCCATATGACCTAGCATTGTTAGGAATAGGCCTCAAGGAAAACAGAACTGAGACACAAATGGAGATTTGCATACTGATGTTCGTTGCAGCATTATTCACAACAGCAAGAACATGGAAACAGTCCAAATGTCCATCAACAAACGACTGGATTGAGAAATTGTGGTACAGTCACATGATGGAATACTATGCAGCACTCAGAAGCAACAATTTAGAAAAATATCATATAACATGGAGAGGCTAGAAAGCATTATGCTGAGAGAACTAACTCAGTTGCATAAGAGCAAATACTATATAAGATCATTATTGTAAAAAACAGAAGGATAATCAGTGAGATGCGTATGGTATCCAAAGAGAGAAGGGGAAGGGGTTGGGAGACTGGCGTGGAAAGGGAAATCACAGGGTCACAGAGTTTGATGGGTGAAAGGAGGGGCGAAAAAAATACTCAATGTACTTGAATGAAACACAATGGAACAAATTATTGTATACAGACCAATAATTTTTTTTTAAAGCTCTAGCAAGTGCCACTGTTGTAAAACAGGACTGACATCAGGTTTGGGGGGGGGTGGAGACTGAGAAAGATGCGGTAAATTATGTATACTTCATTGAAACAGATGAGAGAGAGGACTGTTTAAATGGGATATATGGTTAAGTATTATTGTCATGACAGGAGTCCAGAATGAAGGCTGCATAGTGGAGTGGGCTTGGTTGGAGGGATTGTAAAGCAATGAAAGAATTTTTCTTTTACTTTTCGAAGAGAAGAATGAACTGGAGGTGAGGGGTGGACAGGGAGAAAATTGCAACAGTGAATGAATGGAAATCCAAAATCTCTGTAAATTTTCATTAAAATTAATGATAATAAAAAATTAAAAAATAGAAAAGCTTTAGTGAGAGATCAGGCAAGTGAGGAAAGAAGGACTAATGGAAAATTGAAGTATTCTCCTTCCAACTCTTTTCTAGGTTAGGTTGGTTGTTGTTTTTCTCCTTTGTATTCATTTTTTTATTATGCCTATTCTTCTTAGGGAGCTCTGGTAGTCCAGTAGTTAAGGAGCTGCACTGCCAACCCAAAGGTAGGCAACTCGAGCCCACCACTGCTTTACAGCTTGAAAACCTGCTGGAGAGGCAGCTTCAGAACAGTTCGGACTCAATGGTAATGAGTCAGGTAATTAATTATTCCTCCTGAGTTATCACAAACTTCTGACTTTCTGTAAAAGATACCTGTGAAACATAAATGTATTTCAGCAAATATGACTTCAACTCTTCAGAGCAATTATTTCCATGAGCCAAGTAAGCATGTAAAAAAACCCTGTTGACCAAGGAAGGCACATGAAGAGCAAGCTGAGGAAAGGTGGAACGCACCAAAACTAAGGACTTTCCTTCTGGAACTTGCACAGTCACGCCAACTTCAGGCTCTGAAATGTCAAACGCAACCTGGCTTCCGGAGATGACTTGATCTTGGCAGCCAAGGACATGTGGACAAAACGAGGCAAGGAAGGAACCTGGACAGAGAGAGAACAGTTTGTGTTCACTATGGCAGGGATGACGAGGGGCTAGCAGCTGACAATGCCTGCTCACGGCCACTCACCTGACCACTGCTGCTGGGCTCCATCCACAAATACTTGTGCAGGGAACGTTGGGAACGCTGGCTGATAGAAATGGACGACAAAGACGTATCGGCCCAGCTGTGGTACTCGGCCCCTCAGGGTGACCTGGTTCTAAGAGGAGGGGAAAGATTTAAAACAAACTAAAATAAAAGCTACAAATATTAGAATCACAGAATATTTAGAGGCCAAGAAATCAAACAATAAGTGGGAAATGAGAGGTCATCTAATAAAGTTCTCTAATTTCTCAAATGAGAACTGCGATTTAGGGAGGGCAAGTACATTGTCAAAATTCAGACATTCTCAGTGCGTATTCCAGTAGCAGAATAGCTGGGTCATATGGAATTCTATGTTCAGCTTTTTAAGGAAGTGCCAAACTGCCTTCCAGAATGGTTTCACCATTTTACAATCCCACCAACAATGTATAAGAGTGCCTTTCTCGCCACATCCTCTCCAACATCTAATACTTGCTGCCCGGTTAAACTTTGCCACTTTTCCTGGAGTGAAATGGTACCTCATTGTGGTTTTGATTTGCATCTCTCTTATTGCCAGTGATTTGGAGCATTTCTTCATGTGTCTGTTAGCCACTTGAATATCTTCCTCTGTGAAAAAATCTTTCCATATCTTTTGCCCATTTTGTAATTGGGTTATCAGTGAGAACTGAGGCACAAACTGAGATTTGTCCACCAGTGTTCATAGAGGGATTATTCACCATCACAAGAACATGAAAACAGCCCAGATGTCCAACCACAAATGAATGGATTGAGAAATTATAGTACATTCACACTATGGAATACTATGCAGCACACAGGAGCAATAACTTTGTAAATTATTACCTAACTTGGGAGGGACTGGAGAGCACTATGCTGAGTGAACTAACTCAGTCCCACAAGGATAAATATTGTATAAAACCGTTATTATAGAATGAATATAAGGATCCAGGAATGTGGAAGAGGCTGGAAGCAGAGGGATGTGGATATGCACTGGGAAAGGGAAGATTAATCATTGGGTTGTACAATTTGATGGGTGGGGGGTGAGGGAAATTGAAAGAATTTGTTCAAATTTGTATTCGAGTTTAGTAAATAAACTAGCAGAGGGGGAGGGAGGAACCAACCAAAAGTCAGACATCCATTTTTAACCAAACCTGGGTGAGAACTCTCATTGTCTCAATTCCTTTTCCTCCCTATTCTAAGCTGTATTTCCCATGTGAGGGCCAATTGAACGTTATTTCTTAGATTCTGTCCATTTTCAAGATAGAAGAAATGCATAATTGACATTAGCTATTGTTAGAATTACAGGACATTGATAATATCATAGCAAACATTAACCATATTTCTATAACACAGAACAACAATAATAACAAAACCCTGAAATTCCGTAGTTCATAGTAAACAGCAACAAAAAACCCTGTTCTATTTTATTTTGGTGCTCTAGGTGATTACTTCACAAATTTGATTGATTTTATTTAAAAAATTAACTTCCAACTTGCAAGACTTTATGCTTAGTGTGTGGAGAAGACCACAAAAGGATTGGCCACAGCAGCTACTTTGAAAGTACAGACCAGGACAAGAGTAAACCCAACAATGGTAAGCTGCAGCAGCCTGTGAAAATATGAAGTATTACAAGAGACCTACAGAAAATTTTTGGAAGCAAGAGTGACACCCACTTCTTAAATAACATGCCTCTGAAATCTCTATGAACTTCGAGAAACGATGATAGTTACAGAAAGGGTTCAGGACTTTTGTTCATAGGGTTATTATGAGTCATGATTGACTCGACGGCAATCAACAACACAGTAGAAAACAGAGATCCACGAAGGAAAAAAGAACATCAAGCTGGGGTGGGCACAGACAGGTCTAACCAACGCCTTCATTTCTGAAAGTTTCCACAGGCGAGAACAGAAGATGTCATACACTAGGGGCGTGAGATTTATGCAGAGGGTTTTTTGAAACAACAGTCACTGGTCCCAACCCCAGTGTCTGACTCACTAGATCTAACAGAGGATCCGAGAACTCGCATTTCTGACAAGTTGCCAGGGGATACACAGCTGGGATGTAGGAAGAACACTCTCATGTGATGTCCTACCTGTGGCATCTTCAAAGTGATTCCAGAAGGTGAAGGATGTTGGGACAGAAGGGGGGAAAGCCTACCACTTGGAGCAACCAAAATTAACGCTGTTGGAGGAGTTCCTGGAGCCATGGGGACACAGGTGGCACTGGAAAACAAGAAATTTTAAAATCTTATTTTTCAGGAAAACCAAAACTTCACTCAGGGAAGAAGCAGTCTTTAAGCACAAAGCTATGTGACCTTCAGAAGGATTCAGTCTCACGGAGATCAGAGAACTTTAGAGATCTTTGTAAAATGGCAAAGGGCCACCCTCTGGCAGCCTAGTGGGTAAGGAATTGCCCTGCTTACCCAAAGTTTGAATCCAAAGTTCAAATCCACTAGCTGATCCATGAAAGATGGGCAATCTCCTCCTGTGAGAGTTACAGCCTCTGAAAGTCCACTGGAGAGGCAGTTACGGGTTCTGACTCAGCAGGAAGGAGTTTGACATTGCTATAAAGGTACTCAGCGTAATTCTTCAGCTAAGTGTATTCCACCATTTGCTCAATAATATCAGTTAAAACAGACAAATCCTTAATCCTGAAGTCAAGCAAGCTAGATTGAAACTTTCTAGCTGGGTTGAAACTTTCAGAACTAGAATTATTTGTTAAAAGGAGATAAATGCAACGAGGCCTCTATACCATACGTGTTGACATAAAGCTATATAAAAACAAGGATCAAATAGACATCATCTTTAAGATTAGCATCATCCCCGTGTTTTCTGCAGCCTGACTCTATGAACCAGCAGGTATGACTGTGTATTTAAATTCTTTTTGTATCTACAACATAGCAATCCTGCCAAAACCTCCGTAAGCCTTGGTTAGTTAATATTCATAACATAGTTATGAGCGCTCATTATTTGCATGGTTTTTTAATTGAATAGTCTCAGACGCAGAGATTAAAGGCTTGAGTCTTGGGTTCAAAATAGCAGGATAACTACCATCCATGGCTGAGTTAACCTCCTGACGCCTGTGTCAGCTTCCTTATGTTACGGAATTCTGGAAAGACTGCAAGGGATGATGATAAAGCTTAATTTTTAATCCACCGTAAGCCTTTTAGCACCTTAGTTGACAATCATTCTACAGTTAAGAATGAAGTTCCAGTCTTGCAAGTGTTACAGTGTTACTCAGACCATAACTTAGGCAGAAAGGAAGGAGTCACATTACCTTTGTCTTACAAACTGCCCGTAACGGGCAATGCAGTGAACTTGAGGTCTCACGTATTCAGTTGAGAATTCTTCAATTGGTATGAGACAAATTTGGTGCTGTTGAATAAATACAAGACAAAAAAGAAAGAATTATCATAGTCATGAATAAAACCAATGGACAAATTCTCTATTTTAAAGAAGAAAATATTTAAAGGTTTCGGTCAGACGAATTGTTGTTGTTGTTGTTAAGTGCTGTCGAGTCGCTTGCGACTCATAGCGACCCTATGTACAACATCCCTAAACTGCGCCCTGTCCTGTGCCAATCTCATAATCTCTGACACACTCATCTCAATTACCCCAGTCACTGAACCAATCCACCTCCCAGAGGACCTTCCCCTCCTGTGCCTGCCCTCCACCCTCCAAAGCATGATGTCCTTCCCCAAGGACTGGTCTCTCCTTACAACATGACCAAAGTATGTCAGAGGAGGCCTCAGAATCCTTGCCTCCAAGAAGCAGCCCAGTGTAACCCTCTCCAGAATGAATATGTTTGTTTTCTTAGCAGTCCATGGTACCCTCAATACTCTTCTCCAACACCAAAGCTTAAAGGCATCAATTCTCCTTCTATCCTCCTTAGTCATTGTCCAACTCTCTGATGCATAACAAGTGATTGCAAAGACCATGGCCTGTATCAGACGAATAGTAATTGTTCTTTTTTTAAATGATAAAAACCGCAGGATGGCTGTCTCTTGGGCATCATAATGTGTAAACAAATCCTTTACTTCTATACAGGACCTTATTCACGTTCTGGTCTTTGCAATTACTTGCTGTACATCTGAGATCTGGACAATGAACAAGGATAGCAGGAGAATTATTCATACCTTTACCCTGCAGTGTTGGAGAAGAACACTGAATACCCCATGGACTGCTGAAAGAATGAACAGCTACTTCTTGGAAAAAGTACAACCAGAGTACTTCTTAGAGGCAAGAATGACAAGGTTTCATCTCTCATACTTTGGACATGTTGCTAAGAGAGGTTATTCCTTAGAAAACAATATTGTGCTTGGAAGGGTGAAAGAGGGTCAACGAAAGAGAGGAAGAACCCCATTAAGGTGGATTGGCAGGGTGACTACAGCACTGTGCTCAAGTATGTCAGAGATGGTGAGATAGGCCAGATGTGTTGTTCATTGTGTTTCTATGACTCATACTTGACTCAATGGCATTTAAAAACAACAACAATAACAACTGACTAAATGGGTTTGGGAGATAACTACTGAAATAAATATAGATAAATACTTTGAGCTGCGGTGTTGAAGAAGAGCACTGAACATCCCATAGACGGCCAAGAGAACAAATAGATATATCTTGGAGAGGGTGCAGCCAGAGTGTTCTTTTGAGGCGAGAATGATGACGCTTCGCCTCACATACTTTGGACATGTTGCTAGGAGGGGCTATTCCTTGTAGAAGGACATAATGCTGTGAAGGGTGGAGGGTTGGCGAAGGAAAGGAAGACCCTCAACCAGGTGGATTGATACGGTGACTGCTGCAATGGGCTCTTGTGTGTCAGGAAGTGTGAGGATGGTGCAGGATAGAGCAGGGTTCAGATCTTTTGTTCATAGGATCTGCATGAGTTGTTCTCAACTTGATGTCACCTAACAACAACTGAAATAAAAGAGAGAACAAAAATTCCAACAACATTCTACAACAACTCCATCCCATGACTTCTGATGCCAATATTGCTCTCCTTCTCTGGAATGTCAGGGAGCCTGGCACCCAGGCCAGAGCTGCTCCTATGAGAAAGAAGCTCACTTTAAACAGGTTGATTGGAATTGCAGGCATACTTGGTTGTGGCTCATGGAAGTGTCTCCAGAGGACTCCAGTGAGTCAGACTGGGAACTCAAGGCACTAATTTAGCAGCATGTTTTATTTTCAATTAAAATGTATTACCAGCTTGACCACAAAGTTTCTTCAATAACAACAAGAAGACTTTTACAAAGCACCTACTATACATTGAGTGCCAAGATCCTGCAAAACCATGATGGACAATGGCCTTGCCCTCATGGAGCCTCTATGCCAGTCAGACAGGTCACTGAACAACTCTGGACTGTTTCAAAAAGGGCAAACTCACACTTAGAAGATGGAGAATTGACCCCATTGTAACTGCCAAAAATGGAATGATTCATGTGGGCTATTATCTTGAAAAAGAAAGTCTCAGTAATTTATAGTTTGAAAATAGCAACAACAAGAAGACATCAAATTCTAGATTCTTCTCAAGAACAAGTTCAAAGTTTGTAACACTGTTGGGCATACCCTGCAGGAGAAAGATGGGCAATCTCCTCTCATGCAATTTACATCCTCAGGAATCCAATAGAAGGTCAGCTATGATTCAGTTCTGACTCCACAGCAATGCATTTGAATTTTTAAAACAAGCTAACTAACAGAAAAGGCAAAGGAGGTTGAGTTTTCAAGTATGGAAATACAAAGGAAGAGGAACAGTTGTAAGCAGACACTGGTGATTGGG